AAATAATTGCTGTCACTTTCCCGCCATTTACTTACGTTCTATCAGTCTATCGCAAATGCATTTAATTTTTATTTTCGGACGTAAGTGTGTGCAACGTTTCAGATGCGCAACTTAGACTTGGCAAATGGAAATACACATTGATAACCAAACTGATTAGGCTGGTCTGTGCGCCTTATGACTGGTAGTCATCACTAGCCGCCGTGTTCCGACCTCAAAACATCAGAAAATATACTTTGCATCAAATAAATTTGGCGTTTGTTGTGGCATTCATACTACCCGCCTGTGCAAACGGTTAACCGTCCCATGATGCGAATAAGTTCGCTGGAAGGTGGAGGCCAAATGAGGCCTTCTGACCAATCGCGCAAAGTAGCGAACTATTTTTGTCCGTTTGTTGACGACGAGGTACAAGATCGCTGCCAAGGTATGTTAGATTAGGACATCAAGGTTTACACGACGCCGTCATTGTTTGCTCAAACCATACCGCATTCTATATGTTATTGTTGTCATACAACAGTGAAGGGTCACTTCGAAAAGCTGAAACATTGCCGATGTTGTTTTGTAGAGTTCACAGAAGCGCAGATTAGGCTTCTTTCCGCGTTTGTTTTTGAAGCTTGTTTTCAGCTACACATTCTCACGGAACTGGCCTTGTAGAGCAATGTGAGTCACTTAAACATGTCGACGGTTTTCAACGCACATGAAAGTTGATTTTGCTTGTAAGGTTCGATATGGAGTTAAATATGTTAACCTGTTTTCATTGTACCAAACTGAGCATTTTCTTATTAAACTGAAGGAGACAGTTAATTATATCGAATATGCTTGGAGCAACAAAAGCGCAGAGTTTCCATTGGAAGGACAGAAAATCAGATTGGCATTAGAGCAAATGATGAATTTTTTACAATTTGACAATGCGGGCAACTTGGTGCACACACCAAAAGTGGCCAAACGCACACTTAAATATTGCCAACAAACAAACACAACAGGAACAAAAGCATTGGATGGAATAATGGGAAGAACCTGGTTGCAGATAAAAGCTCATGCAGTCAGTTAACCCAAGTAATATTATTGCATCAAACATCTCTAGTTAAACTTGACAGCTAAATGTTTTTAACTGTTATGTGATACACTACACGTAACCTGACTTTTCAGTGCACGACTACGTGTTGAATCACAATCGTTGTTTCTGTTGGTGAGGCTAGACCAGATCTAACCCATACATTTGCCGTGCAGGTGAAGGAAAGAGTATATAAACTAGTTATTGGCTTTTATGTCTCTGCGAGGACTGATGTGTCACCATTGCCAAAATCGTTTTCTTAAGCAGAAAACAACAAGTTAACTGTAAAAAAGCAAGCGACTACTAGTTCTTGCGAATCCTAGTATATACACTATGATGAGGCAAACGTAAACGCACACGACCACCATCCACTCTGTAGCAAACCAAAAGGAAGCTAAACCTTAACTCATTCTGTATGAACATATGTTATTTAATAAAATGTGTTCCTTACCGAATTGGCACTTAGCTACTTAATTAAACAAGCAAGTGCAGCTTCAAATGCGCCATCGTATCTGTTATGGGTAAGGGCTGCGATGCGTTAAACCATGCATTTTCCGTGTTACGTCGATTTATACCGAAGAAATGGAAACAGATAATCGCTAGAATGAATACTGTTTTGTCTACTGATTCCAGAATATTTTGTATGGCAAGCAGATGTATTTGAATAACGCTTTAGGACATCACCAGAACTATATGTTTCTAACATTGTCTTCGTTCATCGTATACAGAGGCTGGTGGGCATGATGGGTGAGAACAAACAACAACTGACAACCAGGAGCATGGCGACAACTTTTCGAGACCCTATACTTTAATACCTATCGTACTTAGGTGGGTCTTGAGAGAGATCATCTCACCATGATACCGAGTAAATGGCTAGATGATTGTGAAGTTATTACTTTATTTTAGTGTGACGTCAATAGCTTTGTAAAATATGTGCTACCAAGTGTGCCACTCTCAGTCTCACCGAAGTTAAGAAACGCAATAATACGACTGATTCCGTCTCGTTCCACATGATGTGTTTCGCTCTTTCACATGCCAAATATATAGCACTTAGACGCAGAATTTCGATACAGTAGGATAAGCCGTAGAGCAACTTAACATCATGAGATATATCCCACCAAAATCATTTGAAACTGTCTTCAAATCAACGCTTTACATCAAACTTCAATTCAGAACCGAATACCTAAGCTGAAGGTAGGAGTACGGATCCAAATCAAGACACAATATCTTCTGATTAAATTAACCGTGCTTCGTAGGCGCCAGTTTCCTCTCCTTGGGACATAGACATAGTAACTGCAACGCAGTTAAAAACTGAGTTCCCCTATGCTGAGGTAGCTGTACTCAAACCCTACGAAACAATGGACTAAGTAGAGGAGGCGACATTATTCTATTGTAACAATCTGAATTATCTATTGCTTATCCCTAAGATTCAGAAACGCAGGTGGTCGATTCTCTTTAGTTCCGTCTACACATGATACGTAAAAATGCGTGATTGCTAAGAAAAGTTTTCCGCCTTGCAATGCATTAGCTGGACATGGAAGAATACTTAGCTTCTGCCGAGAAACGAGTACCGGCACCGTCATAGAGCCTTGAGATTTTGTTGAGTGACTTAAACGTGCACATAATCACGGTCTCCGTTTACTCTAACCTATGATTCAAAGCTGATTCGCAATAAGCAATAGCCTATGCCTCGCCATATATCTATCTCACTGCTCTAAAGCCATCCGAAAAGGGTGACAAGTTATGCGTTTTTTATCATTTTTTTACCATCGTAGAAATAAAGATCGATACTATGAACATAGGTGTACCGCTGGGCAGTGGGGATCACACGAGGATGTTCTGCGAAGAACACCCTTGGGAAAACAAACTGCCAACTTCCGTGTTCATGGATTAATACCACTTGGCGAAAGTCGTTCAAGAAATCAAGCGCTCCTTCTTAGTTGTGCTGCTTCTTGATCTCGCTTAGAAGGAATTTGTCACTCATTATTGCGGGCTAGATACATGGTATCCTAAAAACTAACAAACCATAGTTAATCACAAGGCGAAACAACTTCTATCAAGCGGTGTATTTAATAGCTCTTTCCGTAGCAAAACAATGAGGAAAAATACTCAGGCGTTCATGTGGATAGCTTGATGGCTCACGTAAAACTCGAGTTTCCTTTGTTTCTAAGTTAATTCTTAGGATTGGTTTCATAATCCGTACTTTTGTTATCTTGGGCGCCATGTCAACCAGTCGCTTGTATGGTTACCACAAATTGCAGTTCATTTATTATCACTAGGTTTATTTATTGTGTGTTATTAATTGACTCTATGCGAACGAATTTTCAGAAGCTAGGTTTTTCCGGGGCATCTGTTCTATGGCTTTCCAGATGCATTTCTAGCGTATCTGCGACAATTGATTTTCATCATCTTTGAAAGTACAGGACGTATCTCTGAAAGCTATAATTTACAGATTCAGTGTGATCAAGGCATTTATGAAATGTTGTGATGGCCCCCAGACTCCGTACTAATATTTTTTTATCGCCTGCAGCAGTATTGCTGGAACACTGCCAGCGGTTCTGCTACATCACTGACTGTCGCCAGCAGAGTCATTGGATTGATGATATCTAATCCAGCAACGGGATATATATGCAACCTTCAACACAGCTTCTGAAGGGAATATGATGTTGGCGGCAATGCTAATGGAGCGATACAAATTGTCGCCGGTACAGCCAGCATCAACTGCCACACCATGCAATCATTAAACACAATGGTGGTTTATAGTTCGAAGCGCAAGCTTATACCTGTGGCGCGTTTTGTACCGGGAAAGTGGACATTTCGAGATCCGAAGGGAGGTCACGTGACCGGATGACTACATAAGTTTAGGCAAAATTCAAACGGTCTGGCTGCGTTCAGACACTAAGTGGACTATCAGAAGTTGAACTATCGGAATCTGTTACCCATTCTTCCCTGTGCATTATATCATGCGTTAACTGATCAGTATGACTCCTGTTATCCAGACTAATTCTGCTTAACCGGATTATGGTCTGCAATGACTGCATAACTTGTTCAGCATTTCTATACTTTACTACTTAATAACCGTCTGTTCGCAATTTTATATCTAGATGACCGATAGCAGGACCAGCGCCAATGTCATCTATCTGGAAATTTGGGAATTACTCAACCCTCTGGATCACCGCAACCAAGCAGTTTACTCGTGCAACCGTACAATGCGGTATTCAAGCTATGTACCTGAACTTGGATAGCATTTGTGTGCTGTGGGGCTGTTTTTCTCATGCAGCCACGAAGAATGGCAATTCTCTCTATGGCTACACACATATGGATGCAAACACCTACTATTGATTAAAAAATGCTAGCACAGTTGTGAGGTTTGATAGTTTTGATATAAGCATGCCAAGGCAACAGTGATTTCTTAATGCCTTGTCTGTATTGATTGTAAAAATCACAAGAGGTCATGAATTCAACACATATACATTTGCTTGTTGCCACGGAACAAAAGCTATAGTCGCATAACTAAACAAAACATGTGCGGCTTACTAACAACCAATCAGTATGCGTTTACAAATGTGAACAGCAAGTAATTTGTCAGTTAATGTTTACCTATCCACCACATTTGACATGGGTCAGTGCGGTTTAAAGAAATTATATAAGTCATTAAAATTCTGCACCCAATGGCAATAACGTATTGAAGGAAGGATAGTGGAGATGAGCGTTCATATTATGATACTATTGCTGTTTGTATTTCCAGAAAATATTACCGCAGGTACTGAGTTTGTAGTCTAGTGTAGCGTCCACATTTTGACTCAGACAAATGATTATTAGTTGTATGAGAGAATTCCATTTAACCAACATCTCTTTTGTAACTTGTGTAGACTATCGGAGACGATGCTTCCCCTCTCATCCACAAGAGTCAGAGGGCACAATTGTTCTTCGAAATTATAGACCCAAAATGTTTTGCAGCGCTACCTTATCCGCTCCGAACGCTCATGGAATTCATCTGGATTTCGATGATATTGCCGTAAGTGATCAAAGTTATTTTATACTATACGCCTAATTTAGGCTTCAATAAGTAAGGTTAATTACACTGGGTATGTGTGCTTCGAATAATCAACATTCTTTTCAAGTACATTTGTTTCCATTCATCTGATATTTCAATCAAAATCATAGTCCACTTCACTTTGGACGAGTTAGTTGAACCTATTGTTTTCAATGTCTTAGCGTAAAACGTAAGCAAAACTGTGTTTGCTTTTTCCGCTACGACATAGTAAAAATAAGGGATAAGAATAAAGCACTTTCTACTACCCGATAGATTACTTGTCACAGATGAACGCGGAAGTTTAGAAAAACAAAACGAAACTATTATTCCTAAGTTCACCGGGCCATCATTGCTACCCAGCGCTTTCCGCGCAGTTGGACAGAAAACAATCCCAATTTGTTGTGTTTGTCAAATGCAGAGGCAAAAAATAAAAATTAAAAAAGCGCGCTATGTCCACTGGTGTTGTTAAATATTTGTATATGTCTTTAGCACTGCTGTTCTTCACTTAGAAGTCATTAGATTTTCATGAAAAAGTAATTATAGTAGGCGTCAGTGAAGTTCTGAATGCGCTGAGCGACGGTTTTCATGCCTCTGGCTGCTCAAGCTGGACCCATTTGGGACAAATTGCAGCCGCACAAAGAGTTCTAGTTTTGGATTACGTTAGCAGTAATTCATGCTTCCAGTTTGGAAATAGAATTTTGCTTATTTCTGAAGATATGTTACCATTATTGATGTTAGCGATATATGAAGGAGCACTGAAAAATAAATTTTTAGGTCTCCCAAATTCGTCACAAAGGTATCCAATATGGACGGCCGGGGCATAAAAAGTGTAACCCAGGAGCTTTCAATTGGCACATTAGTCGTTATCTTTTGATCACTCGTGTTATGCGGAGTATGACTAGTTAATAATTGTAAGTTATGTTATATTATGCCTGCTGCCTACTCATGCATCTATACTGACGTTTATAAAATGCGCGATATGGAAAACCTGATGTGGCAAATACCTAAATAGATGGACCTTATGCATATTAAATCCGTATAATTACGATACACCACATACTTGATTCAGGGTTTCCTTGATTTTTCCGAGGCTGCTTGTCCACTGCTTTCATTGTCAAGTTTAGCCGCAAACCATAAGTGACAGCTGAAGTTGTACAACAAATTGGATTATTAATGCACCGATCAGTATTCAATCAAAGCATCTTTAAAACTCTGTGACGAAAAGATAATATTATCAATCTCCTTACAATTACGATGGCCGTAGAGAAAAATTGCGACAACTTACCACAGCTGCTTTGGGTTTTCCAGGCAGCAATTGCCAAGCAAATTGGTACGGATATTTTAGTGCTTATTCGCCTCTTTTTTAGAGCATGCTACATTTTTCCCGCATAGGACCTAAGGTATCTGTAGTGATTTACTAAGGATACATGCATAAACTTTCAAATGCACGTAAAAATATCCACAATCTGTAAGCTTGATTGAACAAAATTATTGCGTAAATTTCATTCAGCGATCTACAAAACACTATCAGAGGTAGCACAATGTTTACGCTTATATATAGTTAATTATAAGTTAGGTGCCAGTATTTCATATAAAGATTGTGAAAACAGGATTAAAAGAAAGCAGAAAACGCGAACCAGGCAAAAATACATTGGCAAGAAGCACCAGGAACGATTTAATTGATTTTATAGCGTAGATGGAAAAGATATTAAGACGAAGTAAAACTTACTTGTATTGCAGAAGACAGTTTGTATCAATGGCATTTCTTCTTTGGACATTTACATGAAAAATATGTGCGAGCATACTGTTTATAATAGGTGTGCCAGTTCGCCTTTTTACATTGCCTTATACACTACGTAGAAATTTCCACTTTTATCTGGCTTGTAACCGTTCACTTATCTTCTTTAGTCGCGTATATAAGAGAAATTTAAACGCCTTATATCCTTATGCACCGCATGCTTTCTATGATATGGATAGTGCTCACTGCTGCAGAAATCATTAGGGATTTGGTGCTGGATATTTGTTGGGCCAAAGCTATATCTCTTCTCCGCTTCTTTCGCAATTTTTGAGCGATAACGTTGTTAAAGTTATTACAGCTCTTCACGTCCAATGCTTTAACAATTTGTAGTCTAAAATACTCATCGATTTTAGCCAGCAACTTCAAAAATCTTTGTCCGTATCCACCACCTTGACTAGATGATGTTAATGTATATATATATATATATATATATATATATACGCTCGAATATGGGCATTTGGGGCATCAGTAGTTTCTGCTTTTCACGTTTCTGTAAAATTCACTTGATAAAGTGCTGGCTAGATTCTTACTTAGATGATTTTACTCTGTCAAGCTTATTTATGATCTATAATTTTATCCCTAACCATAGGTATCAGCAGTTTTCATTATTTATCCCTCTCTGTGGTATTTGTGTGTGTAATAGCTGGCTAATCACATTCTGACGGACTAACTGAAGTAGGTTAGTCCAATATCTTTACAGACCAGTGACTCGCTAATTAATAAATGGAACGGTCACAAAGTCACGCACAGAAGCTCTGTTAGTGATGGGTCCAAGAATTAGGTAATTTTCTTTCTTTGCCCCCGCATCCGTCAGCCGAAGCTCTTCAGACTGGTCGCGTTAAGGCAGTGCCCCACACGTTCGATTGATCTCTTTTGTCCATTCTGTTCACTCAGCTATCCATCTTGCTAATCTCAAGGCCCCAACCATCAGTCTTTGGGGTGCTGAAGTTAACCCTCTGCTAAAGAGTTCGACATCATCCAAACGGAAATCGTCATCTGTAACTATCACGTGCATCACTTCGTGCAGCCTGTATACTAGCTTGTTCCTATGTGCCCGTACTAGACGCGTCGTGTATTCTGCTATTCTTTACTTGGTTCTGTCGCGGTTTGATCTTCGCTTGCTTGTTCGTAGTCTTGGTGACTAAATTTTTAGGCACAAGTACATTTTCTATCTGTGGGAGTTAGAACCTTCAAGATCGACATTGTCCGGCCGAGCGCTCGGTAAGCTTGAAAAATTACCGTAATGTTTCCCTTGTTTGACCCTGCGCGTAGCTCCAAAAGTTCTTTGTGTATACAGAAATCTATCTCAGCCAAATCGCTTTGTATTACGTAATGGATGCGGATGTAAAAAGCGATGCAATTCACTCTTCGCCAAACATCTCTGGTTTCCACCAAGTAACAGTTGATTTTTCGATTATTTCCCGGTGGCCTTCCTATATTCTTTCACGGTGAGCAGCGGCTGTAATCTGTGGGAAATGCCTAAGATGATTCCAGGATGGACATCCTCTGTGTGATATGAACTATGGTAGAGTACCCCATCTTTGTCTGTCAGTTTACTCAATATCATCGTATTTAGATTATGCGCATTCCTATGGACAAAGCGGTCAATAAATAGTAGTGTGCTATTTGAACTTTACAATTCCACAGTAAAATTTATAATCTCCCCTTAAGTGTTTAAGTGTTATTGAGACGTAAACGGATATATAGGATTTTTGTAACATTTTGCCGCCACCAGACTCAGAGTGGCAGCCATCGCAGATTTATGCCAGCGCTTTCCTGGATTTGTTGTCTGTCTGAGTCTAATGGTGACGAATGTTTGCAGCATGTGTTCAAGAAGTTTGGAAGCTCACCATTCTTATTCCGTTTATGAATACAAATGGTCATATACGTAGCGCCGCCAAGCATTTTGTTATCTAGGAGAGTCAGTCAGCGCCCTCCTTTCAATGTTTTCGGTGTAAAAATTTGCCAACATAGGGTATTGGGGATCCCATGGCAAGTTTCTGCACTTACGTGTATCATCTGGATTGTAACGTGAAATAATGCATGTTAATGCACAATGCTATTCCCTTAATTATTTGATTTAACATAAGGTCCGTCTTCCCAACCAATTTCTTGTCCACGTTTATGCAGGGCTTCGCCATCTCCGACGCTTCCAATATTGGCAAGCTAACGTCGAAACTCGACATCATTGCTTTCAAATAAGGCTTAAGACACGGCAACTTTCGCGCCACTCTTAAAACCTCTTTAAGAACGTTCTCCCTAGCAACGGTTTCAATAAGTTATCGAAATACCTAGCTAGTTTGTGCGTCATTGAATCTATGTCAACTATAATAGGAATGCGTATCCCGTAAACCAAATATCCGCGTCTAAAATATAATTCGTCAATGCTTACATTCTGCTTGACCAAACAGTCAACTGTGACCGCCCGATCTGTAGTGTGCAAGTAACAACGGACCTAGTATGCAGTGTTTGTTTCAAAACATTACAATGTCTAAATATGGAGCACTTGTCTGAATAGAGGCAGGGAACAGAGAAAAATGATACCTTGAGCAACGTCAATGCGTTATTTATGGTTAGTAGTTTTATCGATGTATTATTTAAAACAAAAGCTCATTAGCTCTAAACGTGTACGACTTCGCAAGCTGGTTTTATTAGGCAATGGTTGTTTAAGTTATAGGTGCATTCTATGGCGTTAAAAGCTACCCGGTTCTTTTGGCGCTGACGTTTAGGCGCATGCAATACCTAAACATTTTGCTTTCCATTTGGACCGATCAATTGTTCGGAATGGGTACGCACTATGGTTACATTCCACAGGAAGAATGACCGAATGAGAACATGCTACTACCTATAGGCTATCAATCGGCAGATGGTGTTTCTGATGTTTTATTTCAAACCGCGGTTTCTCGATATTTTCCAAATTGGACTTAAGGAACGCCTTTGACTCGCCAATTCCGACCATTGACAGCATTTTTTCCAATGCATATATTGTTTCAGTGTAAATGTTTGCCCATGGGCTTTAGCTTACTCCCAGCTGCTTAGCAGAATTGCATCTTCCACTAACTTGCAAATTTATTCCGTCAAGTAGGTTACATGCACGATATATGTCTTCAGTAAGACACTAGAAGAACTGCACGCAGTTTTACGTCGACTAAACGCACTTACTTTGCTTAAATCTCGTAAGTGC